GCTTTTGTGGTTCCCGAGTTGAAAGTTGCGGACAAGTTGCTGCGGTCACACACACACACACACACACAAACACACACGCAGACAACCCCGTGACAATATGCGTTTTGTACTGCTGTTATACAGCACAAAACGCATAATAAGCAGCTATTCGAAAGTTATGAGCCAGTAGGGTCAAACAAACTTCATATATTAATACATAAAAACTTCACATCCCTGTCCTCTTCCAATCTTCTAGCCAAGGATATTCATTGTTTGTATCTTTAAAATTTCTACAACACTTATAAATGTATTTTTTGCTGCGCAGAAAACACGAAGTGCACAAAACGAAGAAAGGCAGTCCAGCGATGCAAAAGAGGACTGCTTATGCCTCTTTTTTTAGCAAAATTTGTTATGCTCTTAAAGTTCCGCTTCAATCACAATGTTGCATCATGACTCCCTCCTAGACAGGGCATGTTTGATGGCTCAAAGCTGCCTCCTATATAAGGCCGATGTTTCTGGGTTGTACTGGGGGTCCTGATGACCAACGAAGGACGTGGACCCTACTTCCCTCCCCCACCCCCCTCCCCTCTCCCCTAGCCCATATCATCATCAAGGAATCGACGACCGAGCTAACGATCCAAGACACCGGAGCACTGGGCCAATGGACAAGACCTCCGAATAAAAACACACAAATACTTTATCGAGGAAATTTACCCAGTTTTCGCCATCGCACAACAACAAAATCTCAGAATCCCCTAAAATCCTCACCCCTCTGCAACAGAAAAATACGTGTGAGCTTATAAGACTACATAATTAAAAACTTAAACACACTCTAAATCATTCAAAATGCGCAGAAAGCTCATATGCCGGCACAATATCACCAACTTCACACACGACAAGGCGATAAATTAGATTTTTTATTTCGAGAAAAACAGTAAATTTCAAACAGAAGCAGGTAATAGTAAATGATAACGTACAATTTGTATACCATAGTGAGTAAACGGGAACTGAAACTGTTTTAAAAAACATTAAAAAAAGTGAAAAAAGGCAAAAATATTGCTCCTCACTGGCGACGCGCACCAGGCATGACCGTGCGATCATGCATTTTTGCAGTATTTCATGCTGTTGTAAGACAGTTTGGAGTCCCGGAAGGAAGAATTTATGGCATACGCTGGTCCTCGAAGTTCAGGAAATTAATTTTGCAACTACATGATACTTTCAGTTTTCTGTTTTTTCTAATCCTGAATTAGCAGTTTTCTTGCCAAAGTTCTCGCGCGGCCGTACGTGAAAACCGTGCATAATTGGAGACTGAATTTGAAATATTTGAGTTCTACATAGGCTAGAAACATCCCCTTAAAATTTCAGCCTTCTAACCTCCTTGGTTTTCGAGTTAGCGATTTTATCGTCATATACTTTTGCGGAACTATACGTGAGAATCACGCATGCCTGGGGGCTGAATTTGAAACCTTGTGTTCTGTTTGAACGGGGGAGGGGGAGGGGGAGAGCATAACTACAAAATTTCAGTTTTCTAGCTTTTCTGATTCTCAAGTTAGCGATTTTCTCGCCAAAACTTTCACGCTTCCGTACGCGGGGCCTAGACTTGCGTGAAGGTTTGGTACCACGGCCCCGGGAAGGTACTTGATCGGGGAGTCCACAAGCGAATTTTTGACGCCGAAGCTTGCTTGGCTGCTGAGTTGAAATACCTGGACAGACACATGCACACACACCCACATATAAACAAACACATACATACACACACCCACACACACCGGGGTCGTCACTATATGCGTTCTTACATTTGCATATATACAATAACGCATAAAAATGAATTTAGAGAAGGAAAATGTTATTCCAGAACAAAATTTTTGTAAAACTCAAGACTGATATTTATGGCAGTAAAGTGGAAGGTATAAATGAAAATAACATAGTGACAAAAATAATTATTAATTTACATTTTCGAAATAAGGAAAATACATACAAGAAATGAGGTTATTTCTCCCTCATTAATCGCTACAGTTGAAAACTATATTTTACTCGGGCAATGCAATTTTTTTTGCTTTTTTCAGCACTAAAAAAAATCAGTGCTTATTCCTTATAGAC